ACAAACACAATCTTAGGGTGGGTTTACATATGTTTTACAAATATATTATTTTTGAAGTTTTCAAAAAATTTCAAAATAGTAAAAAAGGAAGAAAAAAATTGAATAAAAAATAAGTATTGTATGTCATGTAATTTAAAAGGAGAAAAAAATTGTCTATAAACAAAGGCTTTTAGTATTTTTATGATATAAAAGTGTAAATAAATACTTCCTCCGTCTCACATATCATGTCCACGTTGCCGTTTCTGTCCGTCCCACATACCATGTCACTTTCATTTTTTGGAAAATGATTATACACTTTAATCTCATTTTAAACTTTTTAATTTATTTTTTTTAATTTTAATTAAACTAATTAGTTATCTTAATCTTAATTTATAATTATTTATATTATAAAATAATTATTTTCACTAATACATTCTTAATTATCTACTAATTACACCTATTCTAAAATACTGTGTCTGTAGCAGACACGATATGTGGGACATAAATTACCTATTAATATAAAATAATTGAAAAATAAAATTATAATTGAAAGGAGTCATATGGATTTTATATTAGATTAATATGCAATAATATTTTATTGATTAAATGAAAGATTAAAAGATAATTTTGATATTTTTATCTATTGTATTGTAATATATAAATTAATAATATGCGTAGTTATAAATTTGTAATTTATGCAAAAATTAAAAAGTATTTTTTTTTAAGATGAAAAAAAATATAAAATTTCAACCTTAAATGGATATTCTAACTATGAACAAATGGTCAATTGATGTTCCGTTATCCATTAAATAACCGTTTTTATAAGGTAAGTTATTTTGAAGTTTGATTTTATTTTTAATATTTTAATTTTATATTTAAACAATAGTTTGTATGTGATTATTTTATGAAGAACTAATATTTATTTTATAAAAAATCATAATTAATTAAGTACATATTTAAATCAAATCTCAAAATTAAGTACAAATATATGCCTGTCTACATTTATCATTCAATATAATATCGTCGCGTTTAGATGTTGAAATAAATATAAACATATATTTTATAGACGTATTTTATGAGTTCCGTGTTTCCCTCCGGCCATACGACGGCTCTCGTGTCCCTCATTTTGCGAGCTATTTTCAAGTGCATGCGCATGCCACCAGCCAACCCGAGAATCCCAAGAATATGACGCGAATCTTTTTGAGCAAACATATAAAAAATAAAATAAAATAAAATAAGATACTAAAACAAAACGAAGGCCTTGATTTCCGCCTGGTGTTAAGTACTGGATAATCAATCACCTTTAATTTATATATGCTGTCCTAATTGACCCTTTAGTTTCATTAAATTAAGGCCTCTAGCCTGTCCTAATTGACCCTTTTATTTATTATATGTTTAATTAATTCATTCTACAATAATTTTCTAATAATAATTTACTTTGCTATGGTTGTGTACGTACTAATACCCTTCACCTTTTTCATTGGAGGGCAGCCCCTAGCTGAGACCTTTAACTAAAGGTTGGCTAAAAGTTCAATTTGTGTACATAAATATATATATATATATATATACATAAAGTTATTATTATTATTATTATTATTTTTCGACAGATTACAAAGTAGTCTTTTTTTTTTTTTTTTTTTTTTTTTTTTAATGATATGAGAACCCGCAGTCGCTACTCGAAAGTACGTATTGGGTAAATTTCCGGCCGAACTTAATACGCTGCAAACTAACTAGGCTCTACGGACAAGTCACACTAGACGAACCATGTGTGACAGCTGATCTGAGGCGTCGAGAGTTTGAACCCGCATATCTACTATGTTTGATCGGAGGTTGTTTGGTTGCGTTATAAATTATATTTTTCTTACGCAATTTGCGCAATTTTGAAATTAAAGGGGCTTGTTTATTTGAGGCTTGATTTTGTATTTTAATTTAAATAATAATTTTGAATGTTATGTTTTGTAATAAAAAAATAATTTATTATGGATAGTAAAAATCTAAATATTGCATGACAAATAATTGAAACAAAACTTAGTAATAAGAGCCTAAATGTGTGTGCTTTTTCTGTTTGTGTATTCGATACATCCTCTCTACATTGATTGTACCTTAAACTTTAAATTTACCAAAAAAATGTTTAACCGACTTGAGCTACAATCTTTAGGTGAAACCTAAATGTGAAGTAACAATATAATAAATACCATCAATTTTTTGATATACAAAAGCACATAAACTTTAATAATAATAATAATAATAATAATAATAATAATAAAAAAACGTGTAGGTGTGTCTTAGTTCGGTGGTTTGAGGTTTCGAATTGAATTTTAAATTGCAAAATTATGAATTTTAATAATTGTTTGATATGATATAAGTAGACACTGATTTAATAATCCTTTTTTTTTAATAAAAAAAATATATATTGTCAGTATGTTTTGTTGGGAAATTTTGTTTCTAATTTTACTATTTATTAAATTTTGTCCGTTAGAAAATTAAATATTTATTTTAATTTTTTTTATATTATACTAAAAATTAATTACAAACAATAAAATTTATCCATTCAAAATCCAAACCTAAAATTAAAACTTGCAGCCACACACATGCTTAGCACTAAGTAAGTACTTGTAGATATTATGAATCAACATGGCCATGTGTTACATTAATCATCAAATTCCAGAGTGTGTTTTTATGTAATCAAATTTATTCAAAGCAACAGTGAATTCGAATATTCAGATACGATTCTGCATATATATATATATATATGACTTACAGTGGTCCCCTTAATTAACTAAATAAATAAATAAATAATAATAATGATTTTAAAATTTGTTGATATCCTCGAGCATAATGTAAAGGACACATGATTGTAGATATATATGGTTTTTCACTATATACCAAAAAGGAATTGAATAGGCCGTCGGGCCTGGTTTGTATTAGGTTCGACCGGAAGTTTACCAAATGCGCACATTCGAATAGCGATTGCGGGTTCCCATGTCATCCAAAAAAAAAAAAAAAAGAATTAAATAGGGAAATGGAAACGACAATTGTTTTTCGACTACATTCCATGCACCTCACTCAACATATATATCCATTATTCACTCTCTCCCTAATTTGTCTTTTTCTCACACCATAGACAAAGATTTATCGAAAGTTTGCTTGTTTATGAAGCAAATATGACATTTTGTTCTAGTTTATTTTTATTATTATTATTATTTTCTTTGCTACGTGCACACGGTTTCCAGTTTTGAGTCGAGCTAGCAAAAATAAATACTGTCAAAAAATTTGATTCGAGTATTAATGAATTTGGGCCAACAATTTAAGCTCGAGAGATTTTCGGGCCGAGCCATCTTGACAAGGAAAAATTCGAGCCATGCCTGGGCTTGTGTAATTTGGGCTGTGTTTGGTCCGACACAATTTAAGGTTAAATATACTTTTTAAATATATAATAAAGTTAAATTTTAGTTAAATATTTAATATTAAAATTTTTAATTATTAAATAATATATTATTTTATCATAATTACATTTATTAAAATTGTCATTCAAAAATATTTGTGTTTTCTTTTTTAGAAAAAAAAACTATATTTTCTATTTTTTCTTTATTCTAAAAAAATTATATTTTTATTAATTTTTCTTAAAACTCACGTGTTCAATCAAACGAACATCATTCAAAATATCGAAGAAAGTATCATTTAATGGGTCTACCCAACTTGATTTTAAAATGGGTCGGGCTAGCCCACGAAGAATTGAACCAACTGGAAATAAACTTGAGGGGCTAAACTGGAATTTAAAAATATGTACAAAAGATTTTCTTTTTATTATTTTTGGTTTGTTTCATTAAAAGAGAAAAAATTCAATCCGATGAGGGGCTAAAGGCTATCGTCCACAAGCAACTCCGATCGACAAACCGGACAACGATGATTAGCCCTCCGCCATTTCTTGAGGCAATATCGATGATAAACATGCCGACATGACGTCACCACAATTTCACATTCTTCCGGACTCATCTCTCCAAAACAAATATTACAAGTCTTATCGGAATCAAGAACCATCTCCGCCTCCACTTCCTCCATCAACGGCGGCGTCGCCACTTCATAGGCGGCGCCATCCTCAAATTCAAGCACATGGCGATGAGTGATTATTACAGGACAATGAACCTTAATCTCCTCGCAAAAACGCGGCATCGATTGCACGGCAATGTCGGCTTCCAACAACGCCCAGTCGACTAAACTCCGGCGCCTGTCGGAATTAAGCGGCCATTGTTCGAGCTGGTTTTCGAGCTTCTCCAGAGCTTCTTCCCCAAGATTATCTGCATCTATGGTGACACGTGTCGCCATCTCCGGACGAGCTTCCAGCCCTCGATAGATTGATCTTCTAGAACCTCGGATTAAAGCCCATCGATTTACATAAATCTTGCACGTGAATTTGAAGTTGATCATGACGGCTGCGGCGGCGGCGGCCGGCGGATCTCCGGCGGGAGTAGGCGTGTACTTATCTTGTTCATCGTTGCTGTCGAAGATTACAGACAGTCTGCAAGAAAACTGCTTTGCCATGTTAAAGATATTTCAAGAACTGTTAGGGTTTTCGAACAAGAAAGGTCTGTAATTACAACAATGGCGATGCTTGAATTTATTTATATGAAATTAATATTGCTTAATATAAATTTGGTAACTAAGTATATATTTGGAATGTAGTACTTATATTTTTCGATCTCCCCCTTCCCTCCTTCCATTCTTCTCTATAATTAAGATAACCTTTGATTGAACCACTCGTGTATTTGATTTGATTGGGGATTGGAATTTCAAATTAGAATAATTATTTAATATATAAATAAAAATATTGATGTTATTATTGTTATTTTTAAATGTGTATTTTATTTTTAATATAATGTAAATACATATTTATTAAAATTTTGGTTTATTTAAATATAAAGACAAAGGAAGTGTTTATTATTAATATCCCACGATCCAGAGACATACCAAATAGCAACAGAAAAACATGCATATAATAAGTAAGAGGACAACATAGAAACATTCTTACCTGGACGGGGTTTATGGTGATCAATAATGTCCGTGGCCTAGGTTGGTGACCTTCATTGCACTTTGAAGGGGTGTCTGCCTAAGGTTGGCCCAAAGTGGTCGAGCCTACGTCGTAATTTGTGACGGCGGGGGCCTGCGTTCACGTTGCCCCCTACCAATCATAGTCTGGAATTTTTTTGTGGTAGGTAAACTGAAAATTGGTATTAAATGGTTTAGAAATAATCCTTTGTTAATTAGGTCTCAATCTTCTTGATATTCTAATGATACATGGGTTATTGACTCACATTATATCAAATTAATTTTTTTAATGGAAAGGCCTATTTAGGCAGCTTGCTGTCTTGGCCTTTGTGTGTCGTTATTAAATTTGAAATGAAATATTGATTTGAATTTTTGTTTAAATAATATTTCAGTCGGATGTTTTAGGAGCAAAAATAATTTTTTTATTAAAAATTGTATTGAGTATATAGTGTTATTTCGGTTTGAGATCATAAGATGGACAAACACCTACTTTTAATATACACATTAAGCTACACTTTAAATATGTTTTGTTTATATTATATAACATAAATCATAGAATACTAATGGAGAAACCTATATTTTAATACGTCAATTATTTAAGATGAAAAGAGTATTTTATTTAAATATATTCTATTTTTTTTTTATATAATACTAATGGAGAAGCGTGTAACAAAGTGTTTGATGAAATACGAATCAAGTGGGTATGTAACTTGCAGAATTATTAATCTATCACCAAAGGGGTCTAATTTATTTTTTTCTTCAATCGGTGGTACAATATATAAATATAGAATAAAATATATTAAAATAATATTATTAATACTAATATAAATAAATTATTATTATTAATTATATAAAAATAAAAATACAATATCCTTTTATGTATTTATATTCTTAAATATGAATTAAAATTTTAATAAGATTGAATATTAATTATTTGGATAACAGCTATATCTTAAATTTTGAATTTTAAATAGTCAAACTATTTTTTTTTTTGGATTAATTGTGATATTTCAAACTTTAAATGAGGGTATTAAAAATAAAAATTTTTAACTAGTACCAAAATTATTAAATCATAATTTTCTTTTTTTATGAAATAAAAAAACATGAGTGGTAGATACCTTCACTCTCTCACATGTGGATCCACATTGACCAAAAAAAGTGGCTAAACAAAATCGTGCATATTTTAATCATCCTCTATTAACTACAATAACTTGCAAGAAACACACACAACAAGACCACTCTAGCAAACAAATCTTGTAAGAATGACCCTTGTAAATCACACAACCATATCCATATGCTCACACACAAACTCCTACTACAACCATGGTAGCACCAAATTTCCTCTCAAGAAGAAGAAGATGGTTGTTGTTTCTTGTTTAAGCCCGAAGCCCGCGAATTGGGCCCTTACTTTTCTTCCGATTTCGGCATCGGCTATTGGCTTCGATGAGAAGAGAGGAGACAGCGTCGACACCATTGACAGAACATTCGATTTCAAGGCTTATATGATTAGGAAGATGGAGAGTGTCGACAAAGCATTGAAAGCAGTGGTGAAAGTTCGCGAACCCGTCAAGATTCACGAGTCGATGAGGTATACTTTGTTTTCCGGTGGGAAGCGAGTGCGGCCGATTCTCTGCATCGCTTCTTGCGAGCTCTTTGGGGGACAAGAATCCACGGCCATGCCGGCAGCTTGTGCTTTGGAGATGATCCAAACCATGTCCCTTATGCACGATGACTTGCCGCACATCGACAACGATGTGGTGAGGCGGGGACAGGTGCGTATGATTTGATGACTAATTTATTTATTTATTTATTTATTATTATTATTATTATTATTATTTACACACACATGCATATCACGGGGAATCGGACATCAACCTCAAGCATGTTATGTTAAGAGAAGATTCAACTGTTCGAACTAATTTATTAAAATTTAAAGATTATTGCTAATCATTACTCTAAGAAATTTCGTTAGTTTCTTTCCAAAATTAGTTGAGAAATTAAATAGAGAAAGTTATATGATCATTTTGAAATAGAGAGAATAGGAAAATAGTACATATAACATATTTCATATATATGCTTAGATTAATGATAATATGTTTAATTTTTATTCAGAAATTAATAAACATAAAAATGACTTATGCTGAATTGTTACATTGGAGCAATCACCAGCATATAGGTACAACGAATTGGGGTGGTTTTGGAGGTTGGCTATGCTTATTGATTTCATTTTTGAATAATTGTTTTAACCTGCTGTATTCTGAGATAAAATAGTAAATTTTATAAAAAAAATATATAAAAATTATATAGTAGAAAAAATTAAATTATAAAAGACAGGTGATGGTGTTCACTTTGTATTTTTTTTATAAATGTGTTTTTATATTAAATATTAAGAATCGTGTCAATAATATTAAAAATTAATATTTATTATTAAATTATTAATTTTTGGGTAAATAAAATATATTATTATAGGAGGGGATTCTCGACGTCACCCCCTCCCTGCCCATCACACACCTATGTACACACAATGGGTCACGGAGGGTTTGGGGCTGATGATTCCTTCTTATATTTTATACTCTCTCCGTTCTCCTTTAAAGCCACGTTTACTTTTTGCATTATTTTACTTAATATTCAAAATATTATTATATTTGTATAATTTTTTGTATTAATGTTATTCTATTAGAATTATAAGACTTTTGCATTTTTTTCTTAATTTGTACTAAGTTTTGATATAATGATTAATATTCAAATATTAATACGCAAAACGTAAATGAGACTCTTAGAGCCGGACGAAGGTAGTATATTGTATTGATATATATTATATTTTTTTTATAATATTCATAAAGAGTCGTGTCATATCCAAAAATAAATTAGGTGAAGAAACCCTATATTTTTAATATATTTAGGATGTGTTTGTTTGAGGGATTTGTTTGGATTTCCACTATTCATTCTAATTTTTTCTTCCCAAAAATATCAAATCAAACACCTATTTTTTATTTTTTATATTATACTAAAAATCAATTTTACATTCAAAACATCACATCAACACCTATTTATATCACATTATACAACTATTCAAATTCAAAATTTTTACTATTCAAATCCCAACTCAAAATCCAAACCCTCAACCAAACACACCCTTTAATTTTTCCAATAGCCAGCTAACCACAAGGTATTCGGCGAGGGTGTGGCAGTTTTGGCCGGCGATACGCTCCTAGCCTTGGCCTTCGAGCACATGGCCGAGCACATGACCACTGCCACACAAGGCGTGACATTGGACCGCATTGTTTGGGCTATCGGCGAGCTAGCCACATCCGTCGGGGCAGATGGGCTAGTGGCCGGACAATTGTTGGACGTACGCTCGGAGGGGCTACAGGAAGTCGGGATAGAGCTTTTGGAGTTCATTCATGTCCACAAGACGGCTGCACTGATGGAGGCGTCGGTTGTTCTGGGAGCCATTCTTGGCGGTGGTGACAACGGAGAAATCGAGCAGCTGAGGAAGTTCGCGAGGGGCATCGGGCTTATGTACCAAGTGGTGGACGACATTCTTGGTGTGACCAAGTCTTCGGAGCAGCTGGGCAAGACTGCTGGCAAGGACTTGGCGGTCGACAAAATCACTTACCCGAAGCTTATGGGGGTCGAGAAATCGCGGGAGTTCGCAGAGGAGCTCCGGCGGTAAGCTCTTGAGCAGTTGGAGGGGTTCGACATTGTGAAGAAAGCTCCGTTGGTTGCTCTTGCAAATTACATTGCTTACAGAGAAACTTGATCCGTCTTGCCTGACCTATTTTATTTGTATAGTTTGTAGACTGTTAAGTTGAATTCAGAATTGTGCAAAATGCTTTGAAAAGTAACAATTGTCCAAAGATGATTTTCTTTGTTTATATGTCAAGTGTTATGTCATATTCTAATATATTCGTCCGTTATAATTATGTTAGATTTTTTTTTTTTTTTTGTCAGTTAAATTTATATATATTTTATTTATAATAAATAATTTTACTCACTTATAGTTTTACTTTTATATATTTTTATTTTGACAAATAAAATTTAATTTGCCACTATTTTTTTTACTTATCACATAACATTTTTTTTTTTTTATCAATTTCTAATAAATTTTTTTAATATTCTCATTTTACTTTTTAAAAAAATTGCAAAAAATATTCGAGGGCTATACCCATTATCACTTTTGTTCGCTGATAAAATATATAGCAAAAGTTGTTATTGCTGTCGTTTGGATCAACCACTCTTCAGCTTATTATGAATATTTATTATGTTAAAATATAAAATTAAAATTCTCTATTTCAATTATAAAAAATTTTAAATATTTATAATGACTTATAAATCATCTAAATAATTCAAAAATTTTATAAATCTCTTAAATAAAATAAATACAGTAAATATAATATATTTTCCAAATATTTCATCTGGATCCACTTTCGAAAAGAAAGATCCCCTGGGAGAAAAACGCGAAACTCCAGCCGCAAGCTGATGGTCCATCTTAAGGTTCTGGACAAAATTGGAGATAATGCCTACAAGATTCAAGTGCTTGATCACTATGGTGTCGCTAGTACTTTTAATGTGTCGGATCTTTCACCATACTTTGGCGAAATTCCTAATAAATATTTTTCTTTTCTTTTTTTTCATGATATGAGAACCCGTAAAACAAATTATACTAAATAAATCATGTGTGGCGGATGTCGCCACAGACAAGCTTCAGAAGCGTCGAGGTTTGAACCTATAATCTTACGATCACGAGTTTTTTTCTATACCATTAGGTCATCCTACAGCGGACCAATAATTTTGTATTCATTTCTCCCTCTCTTTTTTTTTCTTTTATTTTTGGTCATCGAATCGTTTTCTTGGCCGATTGTCGCTTTCATTGACACTTCTTTTAAGCAAAAATATGTATAAACTATAAACCTAAACTATAAACCATTAATTATATATAGCATTATTGATCTGTCTGTCACTATCAAAATGGATTGACCAGAAAAGTGGCTAGGGAATCGTGTATATTTTCACCAATCCTCTATTAATTATAATAACTTGATAGGAACACACACGACACGACCATTAGAGCAAATTAATCTTTTAATTAGAATGAGCCATGTGCATGACACCACCATATCCCTAAAGCTGTACTACAATCATGGCAGCAACAGATTTCCTGTCAAGAAGAAGATGGTTGTTGTTTCTTGTTTAAGCCCGAATCCCGAAAACCGGGCCCTTTCTTTTCTGCCGATTTCAGCATCAGCTGTTGGCTCCAATGAGCTGAGGCCCGGAGAAGACGGAAAGAGCAGCGGCGACACCATCGTCAGAACATTCGATTTCAAGGCTTATATGATTAGGAAGGTGGCGAGTGTCAACAAAGCACTGAAAGCCGCGGTGGAAGTGCTGGAACCCATAAAGATTCACGAGTCGATGAGGTATTCCCTGTTTGCTGGTGGGAAGCGAGTCGCGCCGATTCTGTGCATCGCTTCGTGCGAGCTCTTTGGCGGACAAGAATCCGCAGCCATGCCGGCAGCATGTGCTTTGGAGATGATACACACCATGTCCCTTATGCACGATGACTTGCCGTCCATTGACAACGATCCGTTGAGGCGAGGAAAGGTGAGGACGACGAAGATGATTTAATAACTAATCTATAAAAAAAATGTGAGTCTGTGTTTTTTATCATTTCAAATTCAAATCAATATTATTCATTCTATGCATTTTTCAATATAAGTTTCGTAAATTTTTTAATATTAGTATTATATTAAGATGCAGTAAAAAAAGACAAAAATACTCCTATTAGTATTGTATAATATAAAAGTAATAACATTTGTATAATATAGTGTAAATTGGAAGGATATTTATTATGTTAAGTAGGTAGTACAATTAGTAAATTAGGAAACGATAACTTTGTTTTGTGACGGACAAAAATGAAAAATAAAAACCTTTGGAGTATTGGTTTTTTTTTTATTTTTTATTTTTACAAATCATCATATCAAAATATTATTTAAACAAAAACTCAAATTAATATTTTATTTCAAATTAATTTCAAATTACAAACGGTCAATGTGTTATTATTGTATATGCTTGATTGTTGCTACCACAATCAAAATATTTTCTTTGCAAGGTTAGTTGAGAAATTAGATTAATTATGTTATCATTTTTAGGTAAGTTCGGATGTTGCATCGTATGATTATCCAAAGAGTGAGTTTATGATTGCCACTTCTATGACCTTGGAAAATCCAAACTCATTAAAGAAGCTTTCAACATAAATATATTTATTTATATATATAAAAATAGTTTATTTTTTGTTTTTGGTATTATTAATGATTTTTACATAAGGTATGAGCAAAGTGTCGTCAATATAAAAAATATTATTTTATTTTAAATTGTTGATTTTGTTACGAGTAGATAAAATATACTATTTTTATTCCTTAACAAATTATTCATTTTTCAATTTCGGTATATCTTATAAAAAAGTATATATATATATATATATTTAGTAATTATACTATCTTCGTAACATTACAAATATCCTTAAAATTTAAAATATATTACACAAATGTTATTAGCTTTGTATCCCACAATACTAATAAGGTTATTATAATAATTTATACTCTATTCCTACCACACATCAATATAATATTAATATACCTTAAACTCTCGGATACTTACTTCAGGGACATAGGGAGTATTATATATGACGACAGTTAGGGTGTTGATTGGATCAAATCAACGCTGTTTTGATTTGATCCGGTCAGCATCTTAATTCAAGGTAGTCAACACTCTAACTTAAGATAAACATTATATTGTGTCGTAAAGAAATATATGTTATGTAGCTTATATATTGTATCGTTGAATAAATATGTTAATTATTCTGAAATCAACAATATATTGTGATATACGAAATTGTATCATGTGCTATCATGCTGTCAAACATGTGTTGATTGCTTTGATAGAATGTGCTAGATGATTCAAATCAATATTAAACAAATTTGACTCTATCAACTTGAAAATTGGTCCGACTACATGTTGTCTGAGTATGTATATATTAAAAGCTATTCAATAAATGAGCACATTAAAAAAAGAACAAAAAAAGAAAGGGCAATTATTGGTGTTGAAATGTAACATTGTAGTAATAATCATCATGTAGATACAACGAATTAGTGTGCTATTTTGGAGTTTGGTTACCTGTTTATTGATTTAATTATTTGAATGTCATATTTTGTGAGATAAACAGTATAATTTTTTAAAGAAAATTATAAAAATTATATAGTAAAAAGAAAAAGAAAATTATAAAACGGCATAATATTTATATAATTTTTTATATTTTTATTTTTTCAATAGGCAGCGAACCACATTGTATTCGGCGAGCATGTGACAGTTTTGGCCGGCTATGCGCTTCTGGCCTTGGCCTTCGAGCACATAGCCACTGCCACACAAGGTGTGGCGCTGGACTGCATTTTGTGTGCTGTCGGCGAGCTAGCCAAGTCCGCCGGGGTAGAGGGGGTAGTGGCCGGACAAGCGGCGGACATATGCTCGGAGGGGCTACCGGAAGTCGGGATGGAACATTTGGAGTTCATTCACGTCCACAAGAGGGCGGCTCTGCTGGAGGCCTCGGCGGTGGTGGGAGCTGTTTTCGGCGGCGGGGACGAGGGAGAAATCGAGCAGCTGAGAAAGTTCGCAAGGGGCATCGGGCTTCTGTACCAAGTGGTGGACGACATTCTTGACGTGACCAAGTCTTCGGAGCAGCTGGGGAAGACTGCCGGAAAGGACTTGACGGCCGATAAAACCACTTACCCGAAGCTTATGGGGATCGAGAAATCGCGGGAGTTCGCAGAGGAGCTGCGGCGGGGAGCTCTCGAGCAGTTGGAGCGGTTCGACACTGTCAAGAAAGCTCCGTTGGTTGCTCTCGTAAACTACATTGCTTACAGAGAAAATTGATTTTCTCTTTTTCTATGTATTTAGCGTTCAGACAGGATCTCCCAAAGCATAGTTAACTCAAAGTAATTACAATTCTCTGTTAACGAAATAACGAAAAAAACCAAAACAATAAATAAGACAGGTATTGTTAATCCAATTCGGTCATAAATCAACATACATTTGGGGAATTCCGATCTAAATTAATTCAACCATAATCAATGGTGATTACAGGAAAAACAATATCCACATATTCCTTGAACTCATTTCCTCTACAATGCTAGTCTTGAAACACTTCCATAGATCCTAATTGTTACAAGTTCATATTATAACATCCATAGAGTAAGGTAGTTCAGAGCTGACCGTTTTCTCCAGTTTGATCTCGGATAACTCCGCCATCCAGCAACTACTCTGACGAGTTTAATTATTAAACACAAATTCAAAATATGAAGATAGAGTGAAACAAGAGTGAAAATACTGATAATAATTCCTCTCTAAATTTTTGTCTCTCAAATGTGTTCTACAACCTATTCTACCATGCTGAACATATATCATCAAAATTAATCTTGTGAAATCATACCATTAATTTCCTTTTGCACCAAAATAGTATAGATCTTTTTAAAAACTTATTACAACAGCATATGGTATTTTTCATTTAACAACATACATTTTATGTTGAGAGTATAGATATTTATATAAACTTATTACAGTGGTATTTTCATTTAACAACATACATTTTATGTTTGAGATCAATTATACATATACTGTGTATATTGTTATATTATTATATTAATATATATCTCCTATAGTTTTTATTTATTTTACTCACTATTTATATTTATTGGTTGTTAGTAATTATGTGATAGGGGGAGGATTTAAATCCCAAACAGTTCCAAAGCAAAATCTTGGTGGGTTGACCAAAAGAGTGCCTTACAAAGTGGTATAATCAAACATATGTACAGCTATATTCCTTAAGATTTAAGTATAATTATATACATATATATTTCTCAAAATAAAAAATCAAATATATATCAAACATATGTAAAGCTACATTCCTAAGATTTGAGTATGATTATATACACATATATTTCTCAAATAAAAACTCAAATTGAATATTTAATTTGGATTTAATAAAAACAATCATTCATTAAAAAATATCATATTAATCATATTTTTATTGCATTAAATATCATTATTTTAATTAAATTTATGCTTCCTTGGTTTCAATCCAAATATATTGTTTAGATTTTATACTAAATTAAAAAATAATAATATTATGGTTGTATGAGGTGAATTTGTAACATTTGGTTTCAGCCTCCGCCACAGGTTCACTTGCCGCACATGATTCATCCACACATGATTCACCTAATATTACTTATCTTGTTGAATCTAATTTGCAGGTTCGATTGTACCTAATTTGCAGGTATCAGATTCAATCGGAGATTTACTCGACAAATGGTGGATGGGGTTCCACGCTATCAAAAATATAATAGATAAATAAATAAATAATACACACCTTGAAAGCCTATAACCTGCTGAGCTCCCCCCCACTATTTAAATTAAAATCGCAGGGAAGAACATACACGACACGACAATTCTAGCAAACAAATCTTGTAAGAATGAACCTTCTAAATCACACAACCATATCCATATGCTCCCACACAAGCTCCTGCTACAACCATGGCAGCAGCTGTAGATTTCCTCTCAAGATCAAGAAGAAGATGGTTGTTGTTTCTTGTTTAAGCCCGAAGCCCGCAAATTGGGCCCTTTCTTTTCTTTCAATTTCGGCATCGGTTGTTTCTTACATGGAGAAGAGAGAAAACAGAAAAATCCGCAGCTTCGAAACCATTACTTCTACCTTCGATTTCGATGATTACATGATGGGAAAGGCGTCGCGTATCGACAAGGCGTTGGAAGAGGCGGTGGCCCTACGGGAGCCCGTCAAGATTCACGAGTCGATGAGGTATTCTCTCCTCGGAGGTACCGGGAAACGAGTGAGGCCGGTTTTGTGCATTGCTTCGTGCGAGCTATTGGGCGGACAAGAATTCACGGCCATGCCAGCGGCGTGCGCGGTGGAGATGATTCACACCATGTCCCTAATGCACGATGACTTGCCGTGGATGGATGACGACGGATTCAGGCGGGGAAAGGTCTAAACTGATCTTACTGTTTTCAATAAAAATATATGATCAAGCGAAGAAAGATTTGAATCGATATTATTGTTTTCAATAAAAATATATTATTTTGTCTTCAAACTACATCAACCAAATGCACCATTAGTGTTTTTTTTTTTTTTTTTTTCTCTTTAATATTGTTTAATAGAATAGTTATTATGTAGGATGCGGATCTAATTTGATGCTATCAATCTATAGAGATGGTAACATAGCATGGTGTGTTTGTTTTTATATTTAAATAATTGTTTAATGAAATAATATTTATATTATATTTTGTTCATATATTTTGAATATAGATTGTCATTTTGTTGAATTTTCACGGGTCTCGCTGTCCGTCATTTTTTGAATTTTCACGGGTTTCACTGTCCAATCAGCGAGTCGGGGGTCAAGGGAGTGAAATCCTCCTTGCCTCCACATCATATGACCTGACGGTATACAGTATTGAGCTTTTGAATTCGTATTGAACTGAGCTCATCTGATGCATTATATTATTTTATTTAAATAGATTAGAAATATAAAATCTGTAATATATGACTCGTAGTCCTCAATAAATTTGTTTTTTGTTTCTATCTATGTCATTTTGCATTTATTTATATTTAATTTCTCCCATAGGCTGCCAACCACAAAGTATTCGGCGAGGAAGTTGCCGTCATAGCCGGAGATGCCCTTCTGGCCTTCGCCTTCGAGTATCTAATCACCGCCACACAAGGCGTAGCTGCGAAGTGCATTTTACGAGCCGTCGACGAGCTAGCCAAGTACTTTGGGGTCGAGGGGGTAGTGGCCGGGCAAGCGGCGGACATATGCTCGGAGGGGCTACCGGAAGTCGGGATGGAGCATTTGGAGTTCATTCACGTCCACAAGACGGCGGCTCTGTTGGAGGCCTCGGTGGTGCTCGGAGCCATTCTCGGCGGCGGAAATGATGGCGAAATTGAGCGGCTGAGGAAGTTCGCGAGGAGCATCGGGCTTCTGTTCCAAGTGGTGGATGACATTCTTGATGTGACCAAGTCCTCGCAGCAGCTGGGGAAGACTGCCGGAAAGGACTTGGCGGCCGACAAAACCACTTACCCGAAGCTTATGGGGGTCGAGAAATCGCGGGAGTTCGCAGAGGAGCTCCGGCGGGGAGCTCTCGAGCAGTTGGAAGGGTTCAACACCGTCAAGAAAGCTCCGTTGGTTGCTCTGGCGAATTACATTGCTTACAGAGAAAATTGATTCGTTCTTCGTGAAATTGTAAAAATCTTAAGAAAACGTACACAAAAAGCAATGATTTAGTCGTTAAATTCGATCATAATAAATCTGATATTTACATTAGATGGTTGAAATGACCGTCTCATCGTTAAAAAGCTAATGCAACAGAAACACAAACCCTATATAAAAGCATAATGCTTACCTAAACTCATTCTGTTTGCTTAAATGTGAAGAGGTCATTCTTGAAGGGCCTATTAATTTAGGGTAGGCTATACATCATGGGATATTGCGTGGATCCAATAAATTAGTTAGCATATGATTAATTTAAGTACTAGATTAGATGGGCTTTTTATTTCCATTTGTTTAATTATATAGTTGTTATATATATATATATATATTTTATAAAGATTATATTAGTATTTATTTTAATAAAATATTGTGTTAAAGTATTATTTAAATACAAAATATAAATATAAAACACAAATAGTGACTACATGCAAAGCCATGGTTAAAATATTATTGCTATTCATGTGTTGCTTGCGGTGGAAATTTTAGGATTTTATTTTGTGTTTTGATTTTTTGAATTTTAGTTTGAAAATAGTTTAGACGTAAGTATATTATGAGAGGAAAAATATATAAATATTTTTGTAGGAGTCGTAAGATTGTATAATAAATAAGTGAAAAATATAAACAAAATCTTATTAGAAAAATAATTTTATTTTGTTTTTAGTTAATACTGTCCAACGTACTAACCTGATTTTATTTATTTATTTATAGGACCGGCGAACTATAAATTGATGTGATATAAAATTTTGCCAAGGCATAATGTGGGAATCTTATTATTTAAATCTTGACGAAGATGTACGATAAGTCATTACGGCTTAGAGCATCTCCAACCATGCTCCATATCTGGCGTGTCAACACTATTTTTGCCACCGAGCTGCAACACCATCGCTATTTTTTTTTTTAAAAAAAAAAAAAATTACTGTAACAATTGCATATTTGAAATTAAAACTAGATAAATGGAGATGATGGGTTGGAAATGGCTTTGTAGAGGTCATTAAATGCATAAATTGTTAGGATCATTATAATTGAACACCTCCATGAATTCAATATTATCATGTTACAGTTCACCTCCGTTAATATTAACTTTAATAATGATGAGAAGATCTTAATTTTGCTATTAAATCTTCCAAAATTTTCTATGTCCCAATGCTTATATAGTGCAAAAGAGATTATTACTAACAATGATCGCATTGTAAGTATGCAACAATAATAAAATATTCCCGTAAAAAAATATAAAATCGGGTTGGATTTATTTGATCCACAATAAATTGGATCGGGCTGGCCCGATATGGCCAACTCTGATTTGAATTTTAATTTTGAACATATATTTGGTGGTACGATTTAAATATAAAATTTAATTTGACTTAATATAATAAATAAAAATAAATATTTGACGTTATATTAAAAATAATAATAAATTAAAATAATAAAATACAAAACCAAATTAAACACACCCCTTATCTCGTTCGACAGAAACAAAACAGACCCAATCTGCAAATCGCAGCCTCGAAGAAGACCCATCTTCTTCTAATATTCAAACACATCGGCGATTCAACGACAAGGCCGGCCGGCCGCCCCCACCTCGATTACCGCCATTGGAGTTCCGCGTTTCGATTATTATTATGTCATCGGCCCCCCTTGAGATCGAAGCCCGTCAGCTCAGCCTGCCGAACCACCTCCACACCTTTTCGCCGCAGATTTCTTGCCTTCTATACGACCCAATTTCCAGCGCCTTAGCCCTCCGCCATTCCGACTCCTCCTTCTCTCTCTACCCTTCCTTTACCCCTCTCTCTCTCTCATCCTTTCCGCGTCCCGGATCCCTAGTCCCCTCCCCGACCTCCGCCGCCGCCTTCCTCCACCTCCGGACTGCCGCAAACCCGACGACTACCACCGTATTCGTCACTTCTTCCCCTCTCCTCCGTCCCTCCCCGTCCACGCTCATCCGTTTCCACGTTCTGCGCGGCGGTCGTTTTGTCGGAGCCAGAGTTGTTTCGAGCCACAGGGACTTGGAGTTCGACGGGACCAAGTCCGGGGTCGTATTTAAGGTCAGTCATGGGGTCTCGGTGAAACTGTCCGGGGGGATTAATGTGTTCTCGTTGTATTCGGTTTCGAATTCGAAGATTTGGGTTTTTGCCGTGAGATCGGTCGGAGATGATTTGAAGCTCATGAAGTGTGCCGTGATCGATTGCTGCTTCCCTGTGTTTGCAATTAGGGTTTTGTTTGGGTTCTTGACTCTTGGAGAGGAGAATGGAGTTAGATTTTTCCCTCTTCGCCGCCTGCTCAAAGGAAATCATAAATTGGAGAAGAAAATAAACGGTAAGAAAATCAATTCCAGACGCGGTTCGACCAATGCAATTGATCTTGCAATGGCTGAAAAAAAATCAGATTCTTCTGGTGAGTTTGTGGCTTCTCTTATTGGCCTTTAAAGTTCTTGTTTTTCATCCACCCTGAGCTTACAATTTGTTCACAATCTTTTAAATTGACGTGTTTGATTATATGTAGCGCCTAAACTTATATGAATTTAGTGATGTATTGATCTTGAAATTTTGTAGCAGCTAATTTGTGCAATCGTGATTTTCAGAGAAGTTAAGGTGTGCGAAAATAAGACAAGATTCAAAAGATGTTGGTGCATTTTTCGTAACTTTTGATAAGAATGCAGACAATTCGACGAATGGGAAACTAGTGAAGACAATTTCTATCCAGGCATTATCTCCTAGTTGCTTTGTGGTGTTGGATTCAGATGGAGATGTACACCATTTATGCATATCTCATTCTGTTCAAGGGTTAGAAACCTCCTGCACCGTGAGGCGGCTAACTCGAACCATGAAAGCTGCAGAGATCGCAGTTTTTCATGATGTCTCTGCAGGTGTGCTGTACTTCGCTGTTGTTCCAGATTTCTTCCAATTACTGATTTTTGTTTATATCATGTGAAGTTTTGAACACTTTAAGTGGTTGAGTTTAACTGACAACATAGTTCATGTCATCCATGGCTAAAGTTTCTTGATATCAATCTGCAGTGATGCAATTTATATGGATGTCTGATGGATGCCATACCGTGCATGTGACGGCAGTCTCTGAAGCTGATGTTTCTTCTGACAAAATCGATAATAAGGAAACCAATGAAAACCTCCTACAAACTTCAGGTTTGTCTTGCCATTTTCTATTCTAATATGAACTAACAAGTAATTTAATGTGTTTGTTAGTTAGTTCATCTAGTTCAGAATGAGAAAAATTGATCTGATTTTCAGCTGCCTCCAATTTTCTTTTATGTTGATATATGATCGTTGAACGCTTCACTCTGTCAAATTGATTCCGTTTTTTTCTTTAGATGATTACTTAATACTTTTGAATGCTTTTAGTACTTGGCCATCAATTCACACATTTGTTCTGTCATTGTGATACGTACTCTACTCTCGTTGTTAACATATTTAGAGGAAACCTTTACTTTATTCCTATTTCGAATGTCTCCTACAAGTTTCTGACCATTTATGTCCTCCCTCATCTCATCAATGTAAAACAAATTGCTAGCAAATACCTGTACGACAGATACAAGTGGGCAAAGTGGATTTTTGTATATCTGGAAAATTCATTTCAAATGTTCGTATTGGTGTTACCACCTATGGTGTTATATATAGATATATATATATATGTTAGTATGTATGCTCTCACTCTGGTGATGTGCGGTGGTTGTAAAGGGGCCTTCATTATGATTGTAGGAGATACGTACGAAGAGTGAATATATGATTCTTGTCTATTTAGACTAGCAGTGGGGAGAGTGGAAATAAGAAATCTAATTGCAAGTATATAAACCTTTTTTGGTGTAAAACGTCTACATCAATCTGATTTCATTCGAGGCATTATCTCCATTATTGGTGTGCTTTATATCCTTGGATTTAGAAGCCCTTTAAGATTACAAAATCGTACCCTGTAAAACATAATGTCGACATTATTTACTCTTTTGTTACTGTTAAAGGCAGGAATGTATTCCCTGCTAGTTACACAGATAATATTTACTGTCTTGTGAACTCAACTGAATCGTTGCACCTTTTATATTCCCTGCTAGTTAAACAGACAATTTTTACGAGCGAAAAGATCCAAGATGTTGTGCCTTTGGCTGCTAATTCTGTGCTGATTCTCGGACAAGGTATGCCTATCTCGCCGTCCTTCTCTGTGTATTTGGGCCTGGAAAAGTATATTACAAGTCTATTTCGGAATTTTCATACTCTGGTATGCCATTTTGCTTTAAGAAGCAATAGAGCACATGATTCTTCTTTTACATTAGGATACTAGTTTGAATCAATAGTATATATCATTTATACACATTCTCACTGCGAGTTTATTCAGTTTTCATATTGAATTTTTAAGCATTTAGCCGAATGGTTTTTGGTACTGGTAGGTTTATCCACATTGACAGGTACTCTTGCTTTTTATTTTCAGGAAATTTGTTTGCATATGCGATTTTGTAATCTTACCTGATATTTATTTTCCGAAGCTGGTAAGTTTGCTGCATTTTAAAGCCGTCTCTGTTCCTCTCATGCACTAATAAAATCTCCACCATTGTAACTGAGGGATGCATCTTTTTTCTCAGGATATTAAAAGGTGGAACTGTTGAATGATATTTGTCCCACGAACCGACTGGTCGACAAAATTGTTGTGATCGTAAGTTTTGATTTTGTTATGTGATCTCACCTGTGCTGCTATGTTACTCAATGCTGCCCTTTCCATTCAGAAAGTTACAGAGATCGTGATTAGTATATCCGTTGGTGGTTGATCATCGTGTTCTTCATTTTGCAGCCCTCTCTGCCATAGAAAAGTTGGTTATGATCTCGGGCAGGACCATATCTGACTTGTGGAGAGACAGGTACGTATTCCTCGAGCTTATCTTCCTTCATTACTACAAGAATGAGTAACCTGGTCATTGAAATCTTGTTATAGAAATGGAAGGATTTCTGATAGGTTCTATGAGAAGAGACGATTGCAAAACGCAAAACTGGCAAAAGACCTCTGAGGAGAGTAGGTAACTGTAGTAGAGAATAAGGAAGAAGGCGATGGATGTTGGACTGTTGAGTTATTTGCATAACAAAAATGTTTCTCTTCTTTTGAAAATGAATATTATATATCTATATATGAAGATGAGAGTAGTTAGAAACGGAAACAATTTCATATATAAAAATTTTATACATTTACAACAAAGGTTTTGATATTGTTAAATGTTAATATAATATAATGGTATTTGTAAAAAATATATTTTTAATGTTAAGTACAATGAAGCAAATTGCTAAAGGTAAATGTGATCTTTAGGAAACAAAGGTAATATGATTTTATTTTATAAAAATTATGTACAATTATTATTAATTTTTTTCTTTTTTTTTTCTTAAAAAAAAAGCATATCCTAAACATTTCTTTCCTCTTTTGCAAAAATATGAAAGCAATTTTTGTGTGTGTTTAATTGTCAGGTTCTACCTTTGTTTTTACTATTTTAATTTTTTTTTTTTTAAAATATATCAAATTAAACATTCAATTTTTATTTATTTTATTATATTAAAATTTAATTTTATATTCAAAACAACTATTTTAATTCAAAATTTTATTGTTTTCTTTTATTTTTTTATTATCTATTTCTTAGGGCCTATTTCTACTGTTTGCACACTATTTTCTTCCAAACCGGGTCATCTGCTGAAAATGGCCGCTTATTCATTTATTTATTTTTTAAATATTTTTTTTTCAAATATTATATTTATTTAATATTTATAATAATTATAGGGTAAAAAAAATATATACAATATATGTCATTTTGTAAAGTATAAATTTTTTTATAATACAAATAAACAAAATTTTAAATATATATATATGTTGGGTATAATATAAATTCATAATCAAATCATACAATATAAATTTCATCAATTAAATTTAATGCACATTTATATTATTTTATTCATTGTCTATGAAATCAATACACATCAAAACTCTCAAAATTCCAACCAAAACCAAACAAAAAGAAAAAATAACAAAATTCAAACTCATTACAAAATTCAAATAAAAATTAAATTCAAACTCAAATTCCCCCAAACCCTTCTAAAAAAAAACACACCCTTAGTGTTTATAGAAAATATTATTCCATCTGTCCATTAAATTTATTCTTACTTTTTTATCCATACGTTAAATTTAGCATATTATTAATCAAATTTAGCATATTATTAATTTTGATAAAGTAAAATAAAATAACTCGTCAATCCTAGATATAATGGAATATTTGTTTTCGCAAATTGAGTGTTTGGTATAGAGTGAGTAACTAATAATTTTTATTCTATATTTGTTTATAATTCATGTTGTTATATTTATTATTTATATATATTTAATTTTTTAATTCATAATTTTACTATCACGAGTCCACTTTCATATGATGACGTCATCCCTGCTCATCAATCTTCAGTAAAGAGTACGAGGTAGTCTCGGCGCCACCAGAACACGAAGCGGTGTAGCTTTGTGGTTCGTCCCGCCGCCAGTCTCCGCCATGTCCACCATCTCATCATCGGAAATTCTCGCCACCTCGAAAGCCTGCAGCACCCTCGCTGACACGAAATGCAGCATATGCAACCCAAGGGTGTAGCCGGGGCAGCTTCTCCGACCGGCGCCGAACGGGATCATCTCGAAGTCCTGTCCGCTTCTGACATCCACATTCCCATGAGCTCCTCCATTAGTAAGAAATCTCTCCGGTCTGAACTCCGACGCATCGTCCGACCACACCTCCGGATCCCGATGAAGCTTCCAGAGATTCACGGTCACCCACGTCCCTTTGGGGATTTCGTATCCTCCCAGAATGCAATCTTGAGTGAATTCTCGTGGGCCCCCTAGAGGCCCCACTGGGTAGAGACGTAGTGTCTCTTTGACGATGGCCTGGAGGTATACGAGGTTGTGGATGTCGGATTCTTTCACTAGCCTTTCTCTTCCCACGTTTTTGTCCAGTTCTTGTTGAGCTTTGATCAGGACGTGTCGATTGTTTAGCAGAAGGGACATCATCCATGTTAGCATTACTGAAGAGGTTTCTGTACCCCCCAGAATCATTCCCTGTATCAGTATTTGATGAAATGTTTTCAGAAAAAAAATATATCACTGTTGATAAATAGAAGTATATATATATATAAGAATTGAGATTTTTGAAAATTCTAAAAGTATCTATAAATAATTTAATGGATGAGGAATTTAATTTCATCAATATTGGTTTTTACTCAAAATATTTTTGATCATTTTTTGTCTTCCAATTGAAATAGGGTTTACTCAACAAGGTTGTACGGAGCTTGGGCCAGTTGGTTACTGCATGAGTTGCCCTTACGTCTACCTCATCAATTTATGTTGGATATAGTGAAAGGACAAAATGATGAAAAAAAAGGTATTTTTTGGATAAGATCAGTTTTGATTTAAATTTAATTTTATGGAACTAAAATTAATTCAAAATAGGATCAATAATAAAAATATATATATATGTATATTATATTATTATGCCTGGCACGTGGATTTGATGACTGTGTCAACGTCAAATGCGCCGGCAAACTGATGCGACGGGTCTCCGGCGATCGACACCAGCACGTCCATGAGATCCTGCTCCTTATCCCCGCCGGAAACTTTCTTCCGACGGTGCTCCTCCAGCCATCGGCCAACAATTCCGTTAAATTCCGCGGCGGTTTCCTTCATCCTCTTCTCATACCCGCCAAAATCGAACCACCCAAGCCAAGGCACGGCGTCAGCCGCCACAAACTTCCCCAGAAAGTAGAAGAAACCCTCTATAACCCTCCGGCACCGGACCATCTCCTCTCCGGCGGCGGCGGTGCCGCCGCAGAGCCTTTTCCCGACCACCATTTTCAGAATCACATTAAAATTAAGCTCCACAAACCACTCTTTCATGTCCACCATCACCCACCCCGACTCACCCTTCTTCCCCTCCCAACGGTCGAAAATCTCCTTAACGGCTCGCGCCGTCTCCGAGGCGCAGACGTGGCTCAGCAGCTGGACGCGGCGGCTCGACAGGAGCTCGAGGGAGACGAGCCGGCGCAGGTCTCTCCAGTAGGGGCCGTAGGGGGCGAAGCCGAACATGGCGAAGTTATTGGTCAGGTGCCGGACGGCTCTCGTCTTCACTCGGCTCGCGACGGCGGCGTCGCAGGAGGTGAAAAGTTCCTTGGCGATTCTCCAGCTGCTCACCACCGCGGCTCGGCGGCGCGGCCCCAGCCGGATCGTGAATATCGGGCCGTGTTTGTCTGCCAGCGCCGCCAAGCTTACGTGAGTCGTCCGGCGGCGGCTTCCCATCAGGAGATGGATATGTCCGAGAATCGGACGCGCGCCGCCGGCTTCAGGTGGGAGTTTTTCTTTCGGCGCGCCGAGAATCTTCCAACGGTAATAATGAAGGAGGAGGAAAAAAAGAGTAGCTGTTACGTAGATGGCTGAGCTGAATTCCATAGCCGATATTGTTGATTAACATTAAAAATGTAATTGCTGTATCTTTCCATATATAGTAAGAGATGTGGCGAATGGTAGCCACTTAGCACGCTAGCAAACTTTGCACGATGGGAATGGGTCGGGTTCGAGATTTGACCCGAATACACCTTCTTTGACTATATTTGGATCCAATTATATTCGGACTCGATCCGAACTATACCTAATAAAACCCATTAGACTCGACGGACCAAAAAGCTATTATAATTCTTAAGTTTAAATTTAAAATTGAATTCGAACTCAAATCCAATATATATTAGAATTTACATATTTTATTTTAAAGTATAATAAATTAATTAAACTAAATAAATATTTTTAATATAATTATATTATTAGAAATTATTTTTTTCCATACATATAATTAATATATTAATCGTGTGTGTATGTATATTTATACTCCCATACGTGTAGAGGTAGGGGACAGGCAAGGGAGGGACAGATGATCGCCTTCCATTTAACCCACCCATCACCGGGTACCATGCTAGGCGGGGCTACCTATGATCTTTTTAGTAATAATAAAAATATATATATTAAATAAATATTTTTATGCATAGTAAATAAAATTTTTAATATTTAATATTGAAAAATAGTTTTAAAAATATTTTAGGGTGTTTTCACTTTGCATTTTAAGATGAGTACATCTTTTTGTTAGTTATGAAAATTTATATTTCGAATATAAAAAATTAGTACTCCCTCCATCCCATATATTATGAGTCTATTATTGTAGATACGAAAATTTAGGTAAAGTGTGATTAGTGAGTAATTAAAAAATGTATTAATAAAAATAATTATCGTATAATAAAAATAATTGTGGATTAAGATTAAGATAACTAAATAGTTTAATTAAGATTAAAAAAATTATAAAATTTAAAATGAGATTAAAGTGTATAATTATATTTCCAAAAAAGGAATGGACAAATTATGTGGGATTGACGAAAATAAAAAATAGGGACAAATTATGTGGGACGGAGGGAGTATTTTATATTGAATTAATATTTTTTTAAGTGATAATATATACTACCTCCGCTCGGCTCTAAAGATCTCATTTATTTTTATGGGTTGATATTTGAATATTAATTATTATATCAAAACGTCGTACAAATTAAGAAAAAATTACAAAAATACTTTCGTTAGTGTCTTATAAAACTAATAGAAAGACATTTGTACAAAATATTATACAAATATTTTTAATATTAATTACAATTACGCAAAAGGTAAATGACACTCTATCGGAACCAGTTCAATTTAAGGAAGAATCGAACCGTAGGAATTCTCACCAAACACTCCTCAAGGCACACAGAAGACTTGTCTCTCAATTCTACGGTAAATTGGCCGGAAAATCCCAACATCGAACACACAACAACTGGAGAAAAAAAATATCGCCAATGGTAGAGAAAGTTTTGTTGTGAGAGAAAAGCATATATATCAAGATAGACAAATATGTCATAACTATTTGTATATTTAATTTATCAAAACATAACAAAAAATCTCATCAGTAACAATAGTCATATTTTATATCACAAACAATTAATATAATACTTTTCTCTGTCTCACTTGAAAATACTCTGTTGAGTTTTGGCCGTTGATTAAAAAATACTATTAATATTTTATTAGTTAGTAAAAATGTACAAGATAATCCTGATACATTTATTTTTTTACTTTATATATGTATAAATAATTGTACATATAATGATATATTTATATTTTATATAAAAACGAAATATATTTTATTATTAGTACGAGATTATTTTTACTAAAATATGAAAAAATATATATTATTTTATGTTGGACGAATAAAAATGATAATTTGAAACGTCTTCTAAAGTGAGATCGGAGGGACAAATTGAATAAAGTCAACCCATTTTGATTATTTCGTTGTAAACTTGTAATTAGCTATTAAGGCACGTGACAGTTGATTATACTTTGCAAAGAGAATTTATTTGAACACTTGTAGCCTAACTAATGCACATTTTTAGGTAGGGTTGGCGCTATTATATTTATGTTTAATGTCGTGCGTGACTCATTCTGATATATATATATATATATATATATAAATTAGATACAGAACCCCAAATTAATTTTTTTTGAAAAAAAAAAAAAATTGGCATTATTATTATTATTATTTAAATATTTTGTCATTGTTGTTTGTTCAAATGCAAAGTATTCAATTTTGAACTATATATTATAAATATCTTCACATATATATTTATTTAAATTAATACCATTATACATTACATGGGTAAAATAGTCTTTATATGTCAAAACTATCGTCAAAATACAATATTTATTAAACTTCGGACAAAAAGTAAAAATTTATTTATTAGTGGAGATATGAAGTATATTTTTTATATAAATTGTGATGATTGAGTAGTAAAAAAATTTTAAAAATTGAATGGATTCCTAATTAAATTTTTTATTAAAATTTTATTTTATTTTTTTATTGAGTGACCATTATAGAATGTAATTGAAAACCTACTTTTATACAAGAGAATATACATACACGCGTTAAATATTCTTTAATTTGTTAAATGATATAAAAATAATTTTCTAAACATTATTAAGAATCATTTATACTCTATTGTATACAAATTAGGTTAGAATCAAATTATTTAACATTGACCAATTTTTTTGTTGTCAAAACTCTATTTGCCACATTTTTCACTATCTCCTATATATCTATGCCTATGCTATTTTGCGCCTTCAACGATAAGGTAAACTACGGATACTATGTTGATTGGAAGAAATTCAATATTTTTTTTCAAATGAGATGAAAATTTACGGTCACTAATTTTCGAATGAAATTCAATATTTTTTTTGAATGAGATGAAAATTTGCGGTCACTAATTTTTGAATACGTTATGGTAAAATACATGAAGAAAAAAACAAGCTTCAAATAATAAATTTCCTCTTGTATTCAAATATATGCTTAAATGGTTGAGTAAGTGTTTTAATAAACATAGGTAATAACTATTGTTTTTTATTTTTTATAATAAAAAATACAAAAAATTATGTACTTTTTTATTAAAAGAGGAAACATGAATATATATATATATGTATATGTTTTATAACAATTAAAAAAAATAAAACGAAGTATAAATTTGAATAACGGATTATATTATTGATTTGGGAAAACAAAATATGTATTGTGTGAAATAAAAATACATGCAATATAACAATTGTACTCCCTCTTTCCCATAATAAAGTATTCATTCTTCTATTTTAGTCTGTTCCATAACAAAAGTATCTATTTCCTTTTTTTAGTAACTCTACTATCTACCTAACATTACAAATACCCTTACAACTTACAATATATTACACAAATGCCATTACCTTTATATCACACATACTAATAAGATTATTTTAGTCATTTCCACTTTATTCCTACTATATCTCAGTATAATACTAATATTTCTAAAACTACGTGTAAAAAAGCAAATGAATATTTAATTTCGAAACGAAGGGAGTACTGTTCGAATGGTTATATTTTAAAAACATACCTATTTACTGTATATACATATATTGTAATGATATATACAACACGTACATAATTGTGGTTGAAACACAACACGAGTCTTCAATTTTATTTTTTTTATAAATAACAAGTTATAACAATAGGAACCACATATTGCATATATTTAATTTTGTATTATTTGAAATCCAAAGATAATGTTGTCCCTTTCTTATTTTAACATTTATTTTAAATTAATATTTCTATACATATATATTTTTAAAAAATAAACATATAATACTCTCTCCATTTCACGTATTGTGTGTCCACATTGTCATTTATATATATATATGTGTGTCATATTTCATGTCACTTTAATTTTTTGGAAAACAATTACACATTTTTATCTAATTTTAAATTTTTTAATTTATAAATTGAATTAGACTTATTAATTATTTTAATATTAATATAAAATTATTTATATTATAAAATAATTATTTTTATTAATATATTTTTAATTATTTATTACTGATATTTTTCATAAATTTTTATTTCTACAATAATCTAGATACAATAGCGAGGCCGTGAAAGTAAAAAAATAAATATGAGTGTGGCATAATGTCATGTTGTAGTTTGAATTCGATTAAAATAATATTTTAAATTTAAAAATTAAGAGTAAATTGAAATATATAAAATAATAATAATATTTAAAATTAAATTATAATTCATTATTACCGGTAGTCATTTTAGTCCTGAGCTTTTATAAGTTTTTTTTTTTTATGACATGAAAATTTGCAATCGTTATCTAAAAATACGTACCCTAAACCCTAACCGAACCTAACTCATTCCCGCCTCAAAAGTTGTCCCGTCTTGAACCAACTGGATTCGGAGCTAATATGAAAAACTTGTCTTATTTTGTTAAATATATTTATATATTGATTTTTTAAAAGTTATATAATAAAATATAATTAAAATTAAGATATTACATATTAAGTTTTTAAATTCTAAATTTTAATAATAGAAACAATAATATATTTTCAATAGAAGTGACATGATAGATAAGTAACAAAATAATACTAGTTGAAAAATTAGTAAATTGAAAGATATTGCATTATTAGAAATAGTAAAAAAAAATCAAAAATAAAAATAATGTTAACATTATAAATTTAGATAATATAAATATATAATATTAATTTTTATAATTATTAATTCATGCGAGCTCAGGATGGGCCGGATTCGGGACAAATTTTTTATTAAGCCTATAAAATCTCAAAAATCATAACTCCTTTCACTATAAAATTTTGAACCTATATCCACTCTATTAACAATCGTTTGGGTGTGATTGTTTGTGGGTTTGAATTATTGAATAGTAAAAAATTGAATTTGAATAGATATTTGACGTGTTATAAATAAATATTGATGTGATATTTTAAATGTAAAATAATTTTTTAGTACAATATAGAAAGAAAAAAAAATAAATATTTGATTGGATATTTTTTTAAAAAAAAAAATATAAATAATAAAAATATGTGGTAAAATCCAGAACACAGAGTTTGATGGACTTAATAAAGTTAAGGCCTAAGCATGCCAAAATTCCAGACGGATTAGGCCAGCCCATGGACTCGAATTTATTTTGTTAGTTCTCTAATTAATAAAATTTATACAATATAAATTAATAAATCTTATATATTAATAAATAATTAAGATAAATTAATTTTATTACAAAAATAAAAAAATTATAAATATATATATAAATATATTTATTAATTGAAAAAACATAAAAAAATACTAATAAAAGTTTGAATGAGTTTTAACTTTTAAAAGAAAATATCAAGAAAAATAATTGTAGTATGTGCCAACAAAAATTAAATGCTAACCAATCAGACCCTTAGCATGTACTCAACAATTGTGAAATTCGTTACTAGTCACAATATAAATACAAAAATAATAGTAGAAAAATTCTTTTTTAGTGTTATTTTATTCAGGGGCATGGGTGAGCTGCCCAATGTTATCCTTATTTCATTGTTTATTTATTTATCAAAAATATACTATATTAAATTGTCTTTTAAGACACCAAATTTTAAGTATTATATGCGTCCGTCTCATAACTATATATTCATTTACTTATATTAAAATGTATTACAAATAAAAAAAATTATAAAAATAATAATATAATAACATTTGTATAAAAAATTATATAAATACAATAATATTTTTAAAGTTAAATATATAAATGATTGGCCAATCACTACTTTCTTATTAGTAACTTAGCCATGGAATTCAGCGCTGCCATTTGCGGAGCAGCTGTCATCCTTCTTCTCCTCCACTACCACCTCCTACGGCGGCGCCACACGGCCAAGCTCCCGCCGCAAGCCGGCGGAGCCGGCCTGATTCTCGGCCATCTTCATCTCATGTCCGACGGCGCAAAACCCCCGCACTTGAACTTAGCTGACGTGGCGGACCAACAGGGGCCGCTCTTCGCCATCCGGCTCGGCGCGCGCCAAGTCGTGGTGGTGAGCAGCTGGAAAATAGCCAAGGAGCTGTTCACAACCTGCGACATGGCTGTCTCGTCCCGACCAAAGATTCGGGCCTTCGAACACCTGAGCTATAATTTCGCCATGGTAGCCTTCTCCCCTTACGGCGAGTACTGGCGCGAGCTGCGCAAGATCGTCAACGCCGAGCTGCTCGCGAGCCGCCGAATCCAGCAGCTGAGCCACGCCATTATCCCGGCGATAGCGCAGTCGATCAGGGAAATCTACAGCCGTTGGGCTGAGCAAAACGACGACGTATCGGGGCAGGTCTTGGTAGACATGAAGAAGTGGTTCTCAGAATTGAATTTGACCGTTATACTCACGGCGGTCTTCGGGAAGACGTTCCGCGCCGGAGAATCCGGCGCCGGCGAGGCGGAGATGCGGCGGTGCCGGGCGGTTATCCGGGAATACTTCCACTTGGCGGGGGTTTTCGCGCCGGCCGACGCTCTTCCCTGGCTACGGTGGCTCGATTTGGGCGGAATTGAGAAGAGAATGAAGACAACCGCCGCGGAATTGGACGGAATTATGGAGGAGTTGCTGTCGGAGCACCGCCGGAAAGGCTTTTCCGGCGAGTACACGCCGCAGGACTTCATGGACGTGATGCTTTCGACAGTACGAAGCTCCAACACACTAACCGACAAATTCGATGAAAATACAGTCGTCAAATCCACTTGCCTGGCAATGCTTCTCGGCGGCGCCGACACGAGCTCCGTGATGCTCACGTGGGCACTCTCCCTCTTACTAAACAACCGCCATGTCCTAACCAGAGCTCAACAGGAGCTCGACAGCCAAGTAGGAAGAAACAGGCGAGTGACGGAATCGGACATCCCAAACCTGGTATACTTACAGGCCATAATCAAGGAGACATTGAGGCTATACCCTGCAGCTCCATTAGGGGCGCCACGAGAATTTACAGAAGACTGCGACATAGGAGAATACCATATCCCGAAAGGGACGTGGTTGATGGTGAACATATGGAAGTTGCAGAGAGACCCCGACGTGTGGGTGGATGACGTCTCCCAATTCAAGCCGGAGAGATTTCTAACAACGCATATGAATGTTGATGTTAGAGGGAAGGACTTCAAGCTAATGCCTTTCGGCGGGGGTCGGAGAATTTGCCCCGGTCCGAATCTTGCATTGCATATGTTGCATTTGGTGTTGGCTAATTTATTGCACGCGTTCGAGATAAGAATGGTGTGCGATGATGCCGTAGACATGACTGAGAGCATCGGATTGACTAACCTCAAAGCCACGCCTCTTGAGGTTCTTGTTTCCCCGAGATTGTCTTCTACTCTTTATTAGTAATTGAAAATTCATCAACATCACGATAATTGTTCTAATCAGCATATAAAAATGTAAAACAGACAACGTATATTGTATAAAGTATTGGAATGTATCAATTTGTATAATATATTTGTAGTGCCTAAGAGTTTAATGATAAAAATATCATGAAAAATATAATTACTTCTTTCATTTTATATAAAGTGTTTACTTTTTTTTTTTTTTTTCGTTCTATCATACATAATTTATTTATTTTTTAAATATAATTATATACTTTAATTATATTTTAAATTTTTTAATTTATAATTTTTTAATCTTAATTAAACTATTTAGTTATTTTAATTTTAATCTATAATTATTTTTACTAATACACTTTGTAATTACTTATTAATTATATTTTACCTAAATTTTCGTGTCTATAACATAGACACCTTATGTCAAGACTTTTCGAAGATGGAATCCTAAGGAAGTGAAGTTCATTTTATTTTGGGTTCTAAATGATTAATAGATGTTCTACAATTTGATTATATGTTATGTTTGATAAAAACTTGAAATTTGTATATGTCTGGCAGCTTGTTCTTTTCCGGCGGCCGGCAGGGCAGCGGAGGCAGGGCGACGGCAGCAACTAGTCTCCGGCAAGAAGATTAGACATTTATTTTTTTTAATAAAAATTTATAATTGCTTCAAAAATTCCAGGTCAAAAAAAATATACTCTTGTTGTCTGCAACTTCGGATTGGGTCTCGGTGCCGTGTCACTCGGAAATTCCAAAGCTATTTTAAATAGCTTCAGAATTTCCGAGATCACTCAAATGCCAACGAGTTTTACTCTTCGGACAACAATTCGAGACAAATTTCACGACTTTTAAAAAGTAGTTTTGGATCTATTTTAAATTTCGAGACTTATATTGTTTTTTCTGATAATATACGGTTATTTTTTCTAAAATATAAGAGTAATATTTTTGAATAAAATAAATAAAAATTATAAAAATAATATTTTGAATTAAGACGAAATGAGTATAATGAAAAAATCTCAATCTATCTGAGGTAGCTTGGCCACCCATAGCAATATGAAGTCCAACATATTATATAGTTTAATTATCATATACCTTATAGATAAAAGATGTGGCTCTAAGGAGAGATTGCAAATGTATCTAGATAATATCTATTAAGCTATGCCAATCAAATATATGATGTATATATACAAAATATGTATATATATATTGATATATAATGTATGTCTATATAAATCATTTTGTCTGAAAGAGCTTATAAAATACGAGGCTGGTGATCCGATGCCAGACTAATCCATGACGCTTGTTGGGATGGAAATATATTTTAATAAATATGGTATTATATTGATTTATTATGATATAAAATATGAATATTTTGAAAATTATATAAGTGAGTTGATAATACGATAAAAAAAAAAAAAAAGAAAAAAAAATTAATAAATTGAGTGTGTAAATAAATATAATATTGAATAATATGAATTGAAGAGTATTTAGGAATTATTTATTTACATTGTTGTGGGGTAGACGTGAAAATGGTTGGGTAGTTATCGTAAACATCTTGGATTCCTCCTTGGTACAAAATAAATAGATTTATGACTTGGACATTACATTTGTTTTCAAACTTTTATGGTAATAATAAATAGATTTATGACTTCGATTTCTCAAAATTAATTATTTCCAGTGGTTTGGGTTGTGTAATAATAGTTTGATTTGATATTTTTTATAAAAAATAATATATTTTTATTAAAAATTATTATTAAAAATATTGAAAACTAAAATATATATATATATTTGTTTGGTTGTGGATTTTGGGTTTTAGATTTAGTTTTAAATAGTAAAATTTTTATTCGAAATAATTATTTGTTGTGATATAAATATATGTTATGTGATATTTTGAATATAGAATATATATATATATAGAAAAATTAATAGATAACAAATAAAGATTTGATTTATGGTTTTTTTAAAAAATAATAATTGTAAAAATTAAAACCTTACAAAACTCACCACCTAAGTAAACACAACCATATGCCAATATTTAAATGAAAGATTGAAGTTTCCTATTTAAATAACACCTCAAATAATCTCATATGATGCAATTAATCAAAAACAATTTGTTTTTTGGAATAAAAACAAATAATTCATTAGATGTAATATTTTAAGTCAAAATAATAATAATTAATTGTAATTGGGTTATAAATTAATATAGAATTTGGTATACTTAATAAGTGGTTTTGGGTTTGTACCATAAACTTTCAAAAGCCCACACAACAAAAATTATAGCCCTTCCAAGTTTCTCTGATCTTGTTTTCAGATGGCACTTTCTAATATTCAATTTATACAGTTCTTAATCAAATATTAAATTCAAATATTATTTAAATATAAATTTTAAGTTTTAAAATTTAAACTAGAACGAAACCAAACAAACTTTCCTACATATGACAAACACATGTTATAGACTGAAAATTCAATGGAGTAAATACATTAAATTAGGACAAAATTGCGGAGCCAAAGTTACGAATTCAAGTCTTACATTGAAATTTTAGAAAGATTCACTTTATAAATTTATATGTAACACTACTGATGAGATTTTTGGAGAAAGACGAAATTGAAAGTCCAAAAACAAATATTTGCAGACTCGATTCAAAGAAAACAATATCTTAAATTGATCTCTCGTGACAGTCTAGCCAATGGAGAAGAAAAAATTTAGTGTGTAGTGATATATATGTGTTGATAAATGCAAGTTAGAAGATATTTTATTATTAAACTTACTTAATATATATATATATTCTTTTTGAAATGATGAAAATGACAAAATATATACATTTTTGGCTAAATCGGGGAGTGTTTGAAACATGTTTTAAAATCCTACCAAGTTATTTATTTTAGATTATCGTCTCTTCAGTTTTTTAATTTGATCATAAGATCAAGGAAGAGTCGTGTGCATGTCTTTATAAAAATACTCGATTATTCTACAATTTTCAATGCTCAACTTGTCTTCATTTGTTGTTAATCAAGTTTTTCTGATCTTTAGAGAAAACATGTTACTCTAATTTTTTTTTTAAAAAAATAAGTTGATTATCATAAATGTCGAGCACTTTAGCAGCCGCAGCCATTGAATGCCTTAAGCAACTCGTTGTTTCAATATATACTTCTAAACTTTTGTCTACTCGTTTTAGGTCACGTGCTATGTTCCTTGTGTGATCGGACAATCGTAGAACTGTAGAAATTATTGTAAAAGATTTAGTGCATATCTTAAGCTGTAGAGTATAAGAAATCATGAATTTGTATAGTCACAAATATATACATCTATATCATATATCATAAATTCAATAAATTAGTAATCATGTAATGTGTGCATTTTCGATTTTTACTTGTAATTTATATTTTAATGCGATTGTATTCTAATATTGTATTGTTTTCCATTTTTTTGGTTTTGCACCCTCGTGTATATATATATATAATAATCATGTAGTTTTTATATTTTAGGAGACGAAAAACATATGATAACTTACAAGAAGCGTTCTTTTTGTATTTTTGTTCATTTTAATTTTTTTTTTTAAAAAGAAATTGCGACCAAAGTAATTAATTGATGTCATGTTTTGCATAAAGATGCATGATGAATGTGTTTTTTTTTTTTTTTTTCAAATTAATTTTCAAAACCTGATATTTCAAGAATTGATGCAATTCTTTAAAATTAAACTAACTTTAATCTTAATTTTGTTCTTTCTGTGTGCAGAAATGAATCTGCTACACAATTCATCCCAATCAACATTAATTAATTAATTGCAGAATAAGTGATAATGAAACGTATTTTCTAATCAAAATCACTATTTATGTATCACAATTTTGGAAGTATATCTGATTCGAAAGATCCCTCCGCGCAAAATATGACGCAGACTACAATGCCTATAAATCTGCAATCATCTAATATATACTCCTTATTTACCATTTTTATCCGTCTCAAAACAATAGACTCATAAATATTCATATCACCATAAAATTATTTTTACTTTTTTATTATTGTTACACAAATGTCACTATTTTTTATACTAAGGGTGTGTTTGTTTGGGGTTTGGATTTTGAGTTGGGATTTGAATAGTAAAAATTTTGAATTTGAATAATTATATGATGTGATATAAATAGGTATTGATGCGATGTTTTGAATGTTAAATTGATTTTTAGTATAATATAAAAAATAAAAAATAGGTGTTTGATTTAATATTTTTGGGAGAAAAAATTGGATGAATAGTGTAAATCCAATCCAATCCCCCAAACAAACACACCCTAATACACTCACAAGGGCAAAAAAATCTTTTATTCATATTTTTTACCAACTATCAATATAATATCAATTTCCTTAAATCTAGTGTCCAACTCAGATAAGACCATAATTTTGGGACGGAGTGAGTCTTATAATAACCAGTATCTATCATTAATATATATATATGGCGTCGGTCACAGTAATGATTTAAAAAAATTAATTTTTTGTTGATTTTCTCGGACATCATTGTTATAGTTTAGAAAATATCTTTCAATAATTCATATAGAAGAAATCAAATGTTCAGATAACATATAATATACTCCCCCGTCCCATAAATATAGTCTTAATTGAGTCGGGCATGAGATTTAAGGAATATTAATATTATATTGGTAGTCGGTAAAAAGTATGAGTCAAAGACTTTTTTACCCTTGCGAGTGTATTAGAGTAAAAAGTAGTGGCAATTATGTAATAAAAATGAAAAAATATGGGTAATTTAATGGTGATATGGCTATTTGAATAAGACCATTGTTTTGAGACGGACAAAAATGGTAATCAAAACTATTGTATTTGGACGGAAGGAGTATTTAAAATATATGTTTTTTGGATTTTTTTATTAATACTTTATAGGTTCTTGATAGATGTTTTTTAGATTCTTAAATCTATAAATTTTTGAATTGATGATATTTAAAGAATTAACAATACAATATAGAAGGTGATCTACATAAAACACCATGCATATCTTTAGCTGTGGCGTGCAAGAAGTAAAATTATAAATAAAAATCTATACGATATATATGTTTAATCGTGACGTCACTATCATGGTACAAATTAAATTAAGGGATGATACACCATGAAATGGTGATTCACGACCATTTTTATTTGCCAATAACTAAGGCTCAAGTTAAATAAAAGTTGTGAAATTTAAAAATAAAAATAAAAGTAAAGATTTAATTTAATGTTTTGTAGTAAAGAAATTATATTTGATTTGATTTTTTTAACAAATATCGAAAATTTCAAAAACATGCATCTATGTGAACAATAAACGTATGAAGGTATTTTTCGGATTTAAATAGACTAATTTTTCTGAACAAAAAAGTATATATTAATTAATAAATTAAGTATTTAATACATTAAAATAATCTTAGAGAGTACAATCTAATCATTCAAACTAAATTTACCATAAAAGAAAATACTCCAGAAATTTTTAGGTATATATTCGTCTAAATTGTCTTAAACTAGTGTGTTTGTTTTGTGTTTTAATTTTGTGTGTGACATATCAACAAATTAAATAAAACTCAAGTTGAATTGCTAGTCATTATATGATGTAAAATGACCTTTTCGTCTAAAGGTTTGAGTTTGTAAGAATGTGTATCATTTATTTATTTGTATTTCACGGGCCAGATCAGCATATGCTATAAGAGTGATCGACATATATATGTATACATATTTAAGCATATTTATAATATAACATATATTATACTACATCTCTCCACCACCAATCTATTCATTTGTATTTTTCGTCATTGTTTTTAACATTAAAAATATCCTTATATTTGTATAATTTTTTTGTACAAATGTCGTTACATTAGTATTATAAAACACCAATATAAGTATTTTTTTTCGTATTTCCTTAATTTTTACTATGTTTTGATATAATAATTAATATTCAAATATTAACCTACAAAAAGTAAATGAATAGATTTGTAATGGACATAGGTATGTATTATAATTCAGCATATATTATCTTATAAAACAGCATATGTTGATCCGGTCAAATCATCGTACTTAGTTGGATGAGCACAGGATCTACAGCCTTATTTCACAAGAGTCAACCAACGCTAGTAAAGACTCGGAGACAATCTTGGGGCAACAAGAACATCGAGCGGCGTCACTTTAAGGTTCGTCAACCCGGCACTCTCCGTCATATCAACCGCCCGACCATCGACAGTGGCGACATCAAAAGCCTGCAGCAAGTTAGCCAGAACCAAAGGCAACATGCGCAAAGCAAAATTCGTCCCGGGGCAGCTTCTCCGGCCAGCGCCAAATGGTATAAGCTCGAAGTCTTGCCCTCTGACATCAACATTTATATGCGTCGTTAGAAATCTCTCGGGCTTGAATTCCGACGCATCGTTCGACCACACCTCGGGGTCCCGATGCATCTTCCACATGTTCACGACCAGCCATGTCCCTTTGGGAATGTGGTATTGTCCGATTGTGCAGTCTCGGATGAATGATCGCGGCGTGCCCAAAGGGGCCGCCGGGTATAGCCTCAATGTCTCCTTGATTATGGCCTGTAAGTATACGAGGTTTGGGATGTCCGATTCGGTCACTCGCCTCTGTCGTCCTACGTGGTTGTCGAGCTCTTCTTGAGCTTTGGTTAGAACATGGCGGTTGTTTAGTAAGAGGGAGAGCGCCCATACGAGCATTACTGCACTTGTGTCCACACCACCCAAAAGCATCATCTGTGTAAGTCATTATAATGTATCGTATCAAAATATTATTTAAATTAATATTTTATTTTAAATCATACCAGTGTTTGAAATAAATATAATGTTTATAATATAGTACTCCTTCTGTCCCCTTTAGGATTTATAGTAAATTAAGAAGTAACAGTATTTCATTACTTAGTAAAAGTGTGTGTAAAAATTTTTTGACATTTTTTTCATTTAATTTTATGTATAAAATAATTGTATATGTAATGATATGTTTGTAATTTAAATAAAAATGAAGGGTATTTTGGTAATAAGGTATGATTACTTTTTAAAAAAATAAAAAATAGACCCTTTGAAGTGAATCAGACGAAATGATAAAAAAAATATTTTGAATTGAGACGAAAGGAAAAAGTATATATTATATTATATTTCAACATATTATATTATAACTTAGCAGTATAAATATATACAGGTTATATGTATAGCATATATTGATCCGATCAAATCCGCACAGAATTTAGTAAAAATTTAAAATTAGATATGTTTTAATGAAAATTTAGAAAGTGCTAGCCTGGCATGTGGATTTGATGAGGATATCTGCATCAACTTCACCACTTGACTGGTTCGAACCTCGTACCGTCGACACCATCACGTCCATGAAATCCTGCTCTCCATCTTCGCCGGCGCTTCCATTCCGGCGGTGCTCCGCCAGCCACTCCCCAAACACCCTATCGATTTTCTCGGCAGTTATTTTCATCCTCTTCTCGAATCCACCCAAATCCAGCCACCATAGCCAAGGAATAGCGTCCGCCGGCAAAAACAGCCCCACATAGTGGAAGAACTCCTCAATAATCTCCCGGCACCGCCGCATCTCCTCCCCATCGCCGCCGCCGTCGAACCTCTTCCCCACCACCATCATCATCAAAACATTCAAATTCAAATCCAAGAACCACTTCTTCATGTCCACCAACACCTTACAACTCCCCTCCTCCTCCCAACGGCTATAAATATCCTTCACCGACCGCGAAATCGCCGCCGCCGACACGTGGCTCATCCGCTCGATTTTGCGGCTCGAAAGGAGCTTAGCCGCCACAATCTTGCGCTGCTCGCGCCAGTGGCGGCCGTAGGGGGAGAAGCCGAAACTCACATAGTTGTAAGTAAGGAGTTTGCTGGCTCGCGTTTCGGCGCGGTTCGAGACGGCTTCGTCGCAGGCCGTGAAAAGCTCCTTGGCGATTTTCTTGCAGCTCACCACCACGGCTCGGCGCGAGCCGAACCTGATGGTGAAGAATGGGCCGTGTTGGTCGGCCACATCGGCTAGCTTGAAATGCGGGGGTCGGGCGGCGTCGCGCATGAAATGAAGATGGCCGAGAATCGGCCGCGCTCCGCCGGCTTCCGGCGGAAGCTTGTGGGTGGGATTGCGCCGAAGGAGGAGAAAATAGTAGTAGAGAAGAAAAAATATTGTAGCTGCTCCGAAGATGGAAGTAATCAATTCCATGGCTGCCTTACCAATAACAAAGTAACGTAGTAAATATATATAGCTCTGAGACGTGAAAGTTGTCGATCGAGTAAAATCAATATATATATATATATATTGTCCTATATTCTCTCCATTTCAAAATTATAATCTGGCTTATATTTTTATATTTGGTAAGACTTTTTTTTTTCTTTTTTTTTTTTTCCTTGTGAATATATTAGTGAAAACATTTGTATAATAATAATGAAAAAATAAAATAAAAGTAATTTTATAGTGATATTATTATTTATAAAAATTAGACTAGTTTGTTTTGGGTGTATTTTCGTGCGTTTTTTCTTCTCAATTTTTTACTATTTAGATTCTATCTTTATAATAATAATAATAATAATAATAATAATAAGTTACATACTTTTTTTCTGTTACAAAAGATTATATTCCTACCAATTTATTTCTAAAATAAATAATCTTTGCTTATAAAGTTTAAATGGATATCCATCTCTATCCAAATTTGTTATGTTATGAAGTCTATAAATATTAATTGTACTATTTCAAAACTTAGATTTTCTCATACAAGTGAAAACATCTTGCATGGCTATCCGGAATATAGGTTCACTAAAAGTTCAAACTCTCATATTTTATGTTTGTGCATTCATCTCGATTTTCATAACCTTCATTTCATCTACAATCAAACCCTAGATATCGATTGAGTTGGAGTCCAAATGAGTGATCGACCCGCAATTTAAAATTTTGATGGAATGATTTCAGATTATGAAAGATGCAGATAAAAGATTACTTGCATGGCAAAAACTTTAAATTGGTGCTGAAGAATAGACTTTAAGAAATGAATAAAGCCACCTACAAATTAAAGATCGACAAAAGGGCAAAAGTATACTTTATATTCCATTGTTATTTTGTGAAAATAAAATTTTTATATGAGACAAATAAGTTAAAAAAATATATGCATATTAATATATGATTAATATAAAATAATTTATAGAAAAATGTATTTTAAATTATATATGAATGTATTCATATATTTTGAATATTAAATATAAAAAGAAAATTATATAAGTTAATTTAGTTTTTTTAAATAGTAATTAGAAAAAAATATGAAAAGTAATATTAATCAATACTGTAACTAATAATGAAGCAAGCCCTATGATTTTAAATTGAGAGGTTAATAACATAAATTTGAATTTCAAAAATAAATCATTTTTTTTTTTTGTCGTTTTTTCCTTTTTTTTTTTTTTTTGTTTACTATATAAATTTACAGCTTTTAATAAAAATATAGATCCACTATCCATATAAAATTTCTCATTCAAACAACATTTCACTGTCAAACAATAAATACCAAAAATTTTAAAATCTAAAAAACAGCACACCCGTGGAATTTCTGGATTTATTTTCAATTTCCATGAAGAAAAAACGTATAATTTGTTGAAAAAGTAATCGACCTGACGTGGCAGGACAGAAAAATCAGTTTTGTACTGCTGCATTGTATAATGCTTTCATATATTGGATGGATAAAATTGTTTATTGTGACAAATCAAAATAATTGCTAATTTGTTCAGTCACTACGCGAAAAATAGATAGATATTATTATATTTTTTATTTTTTTTTATGACGTAGGAATTCGTAGCCACTATCCGAAAGTGTGCACTGGATAAAACCCCGATCGAACGTAATACTTTGCAAACTAGGATATTATTATCATCTTTGATCACATATGTTGTCTGTCAATACTTATAGAATTTATTTTATAAATATATATGATGTGTAAATTATTATTTTAATTAAAATTAGTGATAGTATATGATTAGTGAATTATGGAATTTTGTTAAATCATTTATCATATTTATATTATATTAATATAAAATTATACAGTCGATAATGGATATACTTCCTCTACTGAATATATATATTCAGCACTAAAATCAGCCTATCATATCTATTTGGCCATTACTGACTCTCCACAATCATATCGCAATTATGGAATTCAGCTCAGCCATCGGCTCAGCTGCAGCTGCAGCTGCCATCCTTATACTTTACTATTACCTCCTTCGGCGGCGCTCGCTCAATCCCAAATACAAACTCCCGCCTGAAGCCGGCGGCGCGCGGCTGATTCTGGGCCATCTTCATCTGATGGGCGACGCGGCGCGGCCCCCTCACTTCTACTTAGCCGACATGGCCGACCAGCACGGCCCAATCTTCACAATCCGGCTCGGCGTGCGCCGCGCCGTGGTGGTGAGCAGCTGGAGCATAGCCAAGGAGCTGTTCACAAGCTGCGACGCCGCCGTCTCCTCCCGCCCGAAAATGCGAGCCATCAAGCACCTGAGCTACGGCTTCGCCATGTTCGGCTTCTCCCCGTACGGCGACTACTGGCGCGAGATTCGCAAGATAGCCAACACGGAGCTTCTCTCGAGCCACCGAGTCGAAGTGATGAGCCACGTCTACGAGCCAGCTATAGCGCAGTCGGTTAAGGAGATCTACAGCCGTTGGGAGGACGAGAGGAATATTTATAAGGATGGATTGTCGGGACGAGTTTTGGTGGACATGAAGAAGTGGTTCGCGGAGCTGAATTTGAATGTTATACTGGCCATGGTGGCGGGAAAGAGATTCTCCGCCGCCGCCGGAGAAGACGACGGCGAGGAGATGCGGCGGTGCCGGGCGGTTTTCCGGGACTTCTTCCACCTGTTGGGGCTGTTTGTGCCGGCGGACGCTCTGCCGTGGCTACGGTGGTTTGATTTGGGGGGGCTTGAGAAGAGAATGAAGAGAACGGCCAAGGAATTGGACGGAATTATGGCGGAGTGGGTGGTGGAGCACCGCCGGAAGGGCGGGGATACGGCGGCGCGTGATTTCATGGATGTGATGGTGTCGGCCGTACGAGGTTCGGAGCAGTTAACGAGACAAGCTGATGCGGATACTGTCATCAAATCCACTTGCCAGGCAAAGTGACTTTCCCTCTGTCAATTACAATAAATTCTTGGATAAACTCGTTTTTTAATCCGTGACTGGATCGCTTATATCATTTTATTCTCGTAATTGGAGCTGATCGCACACTAGTTTTATAAGTGAAAAATTTTTGTACTTTTAGTCCTCCAGCTCCGGAAATGTTTACAAGGCACTCGCTTGGCTCCCCGGAGGATACGTGTCGCGAGGTGAAGGATACCTGACGGACACTTGAGATTTTTTAATTCTTTTTTATAAAAGAATTGATTTATTTATTTTGTAAAAATTACAAATTTTCAAAAGAAAAATGAAAATTAAAAAATTTAAAAAATAATAACAAAAAATATAAATTCATTGTGTCCGTCATGTGTCGCTGATCTAACAGACACGTGTCATCAGGTGAGCCACATGGGTGCCACCACGTAGGCATCTCCGGCAGCAACTAAAATAGCAAAAAAATTTCACTTACAGAACTAGTTTACAATAGACTCCGATTACGAAACTAAAATGATAAAAGATCCAATTAACTAAAAAATCAATTTCCCCTCAATTCTCTCTTTTATGGAAATAATTGTTTGTCCGTCAAATTTAGTCTATCCCTCATTTTGGTAAAATTAAATTTTCACCTCATTAATTATAGAATAAATTTTTAAAATATCTCAAATTATTTTTCTACTTTTATTATATTTCAATAAAATATTTATTATACTTAAATTTAATATCGAACCCAAATAAATTATTTTTACTGTACATGAGTATTATATTGACATAAATCTTATACTATTAAATTATATTTCACATGCGGCCATTTAAATTTGAAGTTATGTCACCCCTATATATCATTCAGCATACTAACAACAAAACTCTCTAAAATTTAATCATTTGCACGGAGCAGATGATAATCGCCGGCGGCGCGGACACAAGTTCAGTCGTCCTAACATGGGCGCTCTCCTTACTACTAAACAACCGCCGTGTTCTAGCAAAGGCACAAGAAGAGCTAGACAAACACGTAGGTCGAACCCGGCGAGTGAAGGAATCCGACATCCCAAACCTCGTATACTTACAAGCTGTAGTAAAAGAGATACTTAGACTATACCCGGCAGGCCCTTTAGGGGGGCCGCGAGAATTCACCCAAGACTGCAGCATAAAAGGGTATCACATTCCCAAAGGGACATGGTTAATGGTAAACACGTGGAAGCTACAAAGGGACCCCGACGTTTGGTCGGACGATGCCTTGGAGTTCAAGCCAGAGCGATTTCTTACAACAAGACACGGCAATATAGACGTTAAAGGGCAAAACTTCGAGCTGATCCCGTTTGGTGCTGGTCGAAGAATTTGCCCCGGGACAAATCTTGCATTGCATATGATGCATTTAGTGTTGGCTAATTTATTACAGGCTTTTGAGGTTGGGACAGTTTGCGATGAGGCTGTCGACATGAGTGAGAGCCTTGGGTTGTCGAACCTCAAAGCCACCCCACTTGATGTTCTTGTTGCGCCTAGACTCTCTCCCGAACATTATTGACATTATGACGAAGCATTTCTTGATTAGGCGCAGATCAGCATGTCACATAAAGGTAAATAATATGTATGTCTATATATTACAGTATATATTGTGTAATAAAATAAGAATGTTGCCGATTGTATAATATATGTTGTACACTCGAAGGACATATTTATGGGATATATTTTACCATAAGGACAATTAAAACGCAGGAGTAATAATTGAGTTTATATTTATTTTTTTTAGCATTTTAACTTTTTATAACCCTAATAAAAAAACAAAGGCACAATTGATATCGACAAAATGAGATGATTTAGATGCACCCCAATAAGCAAGACTAAGTTTGAAACCCATACCTCTAGGTTAGACGAAGACTTGCTAAACCAATTGGACTATATTTACTTTATTTTATATACTTCTTTCATTTTAAGATAGATGATTTTATTTTATTTTTTTCTTTTTTTTAATATATTTATTTATTTTAAATATATTTTTTTAATTAAATTTTTAATTTCTTACGCGTAGGATTCACATATAATCCATTTATTTTTATATTTTTTTAATAAATAAATATTTTTATCTACATTTAAAATTTTTCATATTTTACAAAACTAGTTTAAGTTAATTATAAATTAATATACTCTCTTCGTCTCCTAACAAAGTATTCATTTTTTTTTATTTTAGTCCGTCTTATCCATTTCCTTTTTCAGTAACTGTACTATCTACCTAACATTACAAATACCCTTACAACTTATAATATATTACACAAATGTCATCACTTTTATATCACACATACTAATGAGGTTATTTTAGTTATTTCTACTTTATTCCTACTATATTCAAATATAATACTAATATTTTTAAAACTACGTGCAAAAAACAAATTGATATTTAGTTATAGGACTAAAGAAGTATATTTTTTTATTTAATTATATAAAATTTTATTATCTATAAAATTATATTCTTTTAAATATCTATCTATTTTTCTATTTTTGTCCGTTCCAAAATAAAATATTTTATTTTTTTTAGTAACCCTAATACCAATATACTATTAAAATTACCTTTAAACTTGCACTATATTACAAATATATCACTATAAGAAATTTTTACCTTGACAATATTTTAGTTTTTTTACATTTATTCTTACTACACCCCAATATAATACTCTCTCCATCCCCCAAATTTATTTTTTTTTTCATCCGTTAACTTTATCACATTACTATATTTGAAAATGTCAAAAAATCTATTTAATTATTACCCTTCATTCAACATTTATTTATAACTAATATCACTAACTTCATTACATTCTCTTTCATTCTCTTTAATTATTAATAAATTTTCAAAAATACTCTCAACTCTCTTTATATTTTTTTGTATTTTTAATAAAATAATCATATTTCTTAACTCTTGTGCCGAGCCCAAATGAGCTAAATATTGCGGACGGAGGGAATATTAATACTCTTAAAATTTCGTGCAAAAATCAAACGAATGAATAAATATGGGACAGAGAAATATATTTTTAATTAGATATAATACTAAAAATATTGAAAGATCTAAATTTCTTTTAATAATATATATGAATTTAAGTTTTAAAATATTAGTAAAAACAGTACTAATATAAAAAATAATAAAATAATATTATAATTTATTATTAGTAATTTATTAATTTATATTATCTAAATAATAATTGTTCCCGAAAGAAATGAATCAGTTGTTAGGAGGGAGTACTTATTAATCTATTTGGAAAAACTTTTTAGTATTTTAATAGACCGGGTTGGACCAGCATGGCCTAATTTTAACATGCCTGGCCCAATATGGTTTCTCAATTGGGCCTCGTTGGCCCGGTTCAAAATTATTTTAGATCTAATTTGAAAGCTCAAATTCAATCTCGATGGCATTACTTTTATTTTTGATATTTTGTACAATAATTACTATAATTATTTTATTTTTAGGCATATTGTACTTCACTATTAATTTTTATTATAAAAAAATAAAATGACTAGATAAAGGGAAAATTATTTTTTCACTATTTTCAATCACTTACTATAATTAAAGTATTTGTATTTGTTAAACAAAATGAAAATATATATATATTCCTTTCGTTTTAATTTAAAATATTTTTTTATTATTTTCGTCCGTTTTAATTCAAATTATTTTTTTATTATTTTAATATGTTCTAAGTATTATTTTATTATTTTAGAAAAAAGTAAGTATATATTAATACTAAAATATTTTTAACTTTTATTTAAATTACAAACATATTATTATGCACACAATTACTTTATACATAAAGTCAAATAAAAAAATATATATATATCAAAATATCGTATACACTTTCATGAGCCAATAAAATAATATTATTTTTTAATATACTATAAAATTTCAAAATAATGGTAAAAAATCACCTTATTAATAATAATGAAAAAAAAATCAATTTTGGAGTAATGTACTAGTAATTTAGTAATACTAAATTTTGAATAAAATATTATTATTTGTTAATGTACTAGTAATTTAGTAATAATACAAATTACTTTAAAATAACTTAGAATATTGAGTAATTAATAATAATGCCTCACATATTACAGATTTAAATGGGAACCCACCTTATTAATAATAATGGAAAAAAATCATTTTTGGTTTCAGTAGAATCAAAATTTATCAATTTTAATTTCATTATACTGTATAAAATTTTATATTTGAAGTAAAATTTATACATTTTAATTATATTAAAATTACTATTTCTTTTTTCTATTTTAACTATATCAATTATTCTAAATTCAAATTTTTTAAAAAAAGAAATAACAAAAAAAATAAAATAAAATTTTAGACCAAAACAGAAAAGTACACGGCCGTGTACAATTAAACATGGCCGTATGACATTATGGTCGTGTACAATTAAGCATGACCATGTTGTTTCCAGGTCAGCTATGACTCAACTCTTTTGCATCCACGTCAGCAATTTTCATTAATTTTTTTAAACAATGAAATCAAAATTGATTGAAATTGTTTATAATTGAACCAAAATTTATGAATTTTTTATATTGAGACCAATTTTTGTTATATTTGACCAAAATTAATTTTATCCCAGTGATAATCGACATATTTTGGACATAATGGATGTTGATTGATGTATGTTTGCTTAAACACTGCCAACCACCCAAGTTACCTAACAACCCTTGCCTTGCTATTTATCTTTTAATGCATGTCTCGATTTTTTGGTGCATGAGGTAGGTGTGACCGTACGAGCCCATAAATGCGTGCTACGATCAATCATTCTATTTATTTAGTTGTATAAAATTATTACTCCATTATAATTATTATTGTTATTCTTATTATTATTATTAATAGACCAATAAAAAATTATTATTATTGAAAAAATAAGCTTCAGCCGTCCCTTAAATTTATTTATATTTTTTTTTTGTCTGTATATTAAGGTTGTATTTGTTTAGAAAATTTTCAAAGATTTTAACTATTCACTAAATTTTTTTAAAAAAAATATTAAATCAAATACCTATTTTTTATTTTTTATATTATATTAAAAATTAACTTTACATTCAAAATATCACATCAACACATATTTATATTATTACATTATACAACTATTTCAATTAAAAAATTTTACTATTCAAATCTCAACTCAAAATTCAAACCCCCAAACAAACACATACTATATTTGAAAAAATGAAAAAAAATAAAATAAAATTAATATTTAATTATTATCAATTATTCAATAAGTATTTACCATAAAAATTACTAATTTTATTATACTTTTTTCTTTTAATTTTCTTTAACTATTAATTAAAATTTCAAAATTACCTTTAATTACCTTTTTAATTTTTCTACTTTTTTAAACAAATATTTTCTTTTTTAATCCACGTGCTAAGTCTAAATAAGCTAAATATTGTGAAGAAATGAAGTAAAAATAAGTATTTAATATAATAATTTATATATATATATATAGGGTGAACAATAAGATCATAATTTCTGGCTATGTTTCTTTACGGGAGTTAGGAGAAAGTTGGGTTTGGATTTGATTTTTCTTTGAATTTTGGGATGAGTTTGGATTTTGTTGTTTGTTTTGTGTTTGGGTTTGGGGAGTTTTGATGTGTATTGATTTGATGGATAATGAATAAAATAATATAAATGTGTATTAAATTTAATTGATAAAATTTATATTGTATGATTTAATTATGAATTTATATTATACCCAACATATATTTAAAAAAAAAATTTATTTGTATTATAGAAAATTTTATTCTCTACAAAATGACATATATATTGTATATATATTTTTTCATTTAATTATAATAAATATTAAATAAAATTTAAATTTTTTTTAAAAAAAAAAAAAAAAAACAAGGGGTTTGGCGAGTGTACAGTAAAATGGGGCCAAAGCCCCCTCAGATAAACACACCCTAATGTCTGTTTGGTTAGACACTGCCAACCGGTTTGGTAGATCCTACTCCCGCAAGCAGTGTTTGTAATTATGTTTTTTTTTTTTTTAAAAAAAAAAAAGATTTAATAATAGTAATATTAATTATTTATGTCTTTTTTTCTCTATTTACATTTATTACATTTTGAATTTTTCTTTATTTTGTTTAACTCCTTCTATGTATATTGTTCGATATATTTGTTGAAAATGTTCTATAAATTTCAATAAGTATTGTTATTGTAAAATTATTTATTTTTTATGAAATATTTAAAAATAAATATCATTCCGTCATTTCAATTAATGTTATCCTTATTTTTTAATAGTAATATTTTAATTATAGTGGACAGTTAAAAATAATATAAAATAATTTTATTTATTTATTCTTTTTTGTAAAAATAATGATACAAAGATAAAATAAGAATATTTGTAAAAAACTAAAATCCATAGTTATTAAAAACAAAATTATTATTTTAATTTTTTATAAAATAAAATAAGATAATATAGTATATACATTGAGTATCATGTCCGAAAATATAATGAAAGAACAAATCATTTAAAATTAGATAATTTAAAATAAATATATATATATTTTGCGAATGGACAAAAACCGTATTATTAAATAGTTGATTTTTCAAGAGTGAAGAAAATATACATATTGTATTAATTTATATATATATTAATATTTTAAAAATAATGACAAATTTAATTAAAGACAAATATTTAATATTCCTCCATCCCAGAAAAAATGTCTTATTGGAAGTGAGCACGAAAATTAAA